AGTTAAAAAATTTCGTCTTTTGTGGCTTTAAAACTCGAATTTTTTTCTTCTAAAAATATAAATTTATCAAATTCAAAACATAATTTATCATGTTAAAAACGAGAATTGTTCGAAAATTGTCGTTTGGATTCATTTAAGTATTGAGCTTGATTCAATGGTCTTCGCTCAATAATTGTAGCATAGATCCTTTTTTAAACTAAAATTAAAAGAATAATTCAACAAATATTTGAGATTTTAAGATAAATTTTGTATAAAAATTAAGTGCTCGAATCTAATCTGATTCAAAACTTTCAACTTTAATCAATATTTTAAGGTTAAGATTAATAAAAATAACTCAAAAATTAGTTTTTATATAAAAAAAAAATTATTAAAATTCGTATAAACCGAATTTGATTCAAGATATACAAGGTGTCCCAAAAGTCAGTTAATCGCGTCAACTTTAGTTTCTTACACGCGGTTAACTGACTTTTAAACCACCACATATAATTTATCAAATTAATTTTAAACATAGGGGAAAAAAATAAGGTTATTAAATTTATCTCTAAATTGAAATGTATAAAATAAAATAATATAATATAATACTTATATCCTATATGAATATGTGTACACTAATTACTGTACTGTACTGTACGTTTGTTCTAAGACTGGCGTACAGTACTTATGGACACTCAATATTTAAACTTATAAATCGAGGCACACCTCAAATCTGTTATGGATTAATTCGTAAAATTCTTCAAATCTAAAATAAAAATTAAGCTTTAATAATTAAAACATACTTAATTTTATTAACATAAAATTAATTTTATAGTTTAAAATTAAATTCGAAATTAAATGAAATTTCATGTTTATTTATCTGTTAAATGACTTTTTAAATAATTCCTATTCAAAAATCAAAGAATTCTTCAATATTTTCATTAAGAAATTTTCAAGAGAAACGAATTTCAAATAAATTCTATGTTATTTATTTATTTATTTTTTAATTTTAGAATTAAGAATTTAATTTTATATTTTGGAAGTTTATGTATTAAAAAAAGATATTTTAAGTAAAATTTATAAGACATACCTATAATAAAAATTTTTTTAAAATTTATAGCATTATTTATCATAGCATTTTTGATTAAAAATTTTAAAAAATATATATTTTTTTAATGTTATATTTTACAGTTTAATGTCTTGAGAATTTATCTAACTGATGCGTGCCATCTTATGCATTGAGATCATAAATCAATTTTCTTCAACGCAACCAAAAGAATATTGAAAATAGGAAAAAAAAAATCTTCATCATTTACTATTCGGAATACTAAAAGAAAATAATATATATTATTTTTAAGTGAAAAAATATGCAAATTAATACTCTGCAAATTTATATAACTTTTGTTTTTTTTTGCACTGAAAGTAATTTAAGATGTGATAACATCTTTAAATTTGTAATTTGTAAAGGATTATTTAAGTAAAAAAAACAGGGAGATAAATAAACAAAGTTAAAATTTGTTTAGTTTGGAGACAGATGAGATAAATTGTTAGAAATAATGCAAACAACGTGATAAATCTTCTTAGGTAATGATAATTGATGCTTTGAGAACGTACATTTAAACACCTTTTTTCTCATTCATCAATAAAGAAAAACACAAAATGCGGTTTATTGAACGGACGGTTGCAAGCTTCATTTGTTTAAATGTATAAAATATAATTATTTTTCCACTTGCTAAATTTTTATCATTTACAATTCGACAATTTTCTGAAGCATAATTATTTGAAGTTCAATTATTCTTATTTATTATTATTATTATTATTATC